CTCCAGATCCTCCCTCCTGCATGGATTCTTATTTCAGAGCAGTAGCCACTGGGGGAGGGGGACTTCTCCCCAGGCCACACCACGCTCTCCTGGCACACAGGCTCATGTCTTGCTCTTCCAAGTGTTTTCTATGCTTTAGCTCCGTGCACCCTTCCTGCCGCCCTAAGGGACAGATCCCATTGTACAGAGGAGTAAACGGAGGCAACCATTGTACAGAGGAGTAAACCTGCCAGAGATCACACCGCTCAGCGGCCCTGCTGACTCATTATTCTGTGCTGCCTCCAGGCATCAAGCCAGCCTGCAAACCTTCCATGAAGGTGGCTCGCTGACCTCTGTCCCAGGGGCAGGATTTTTTCAGTTTGTGCCAGGAGGGTAGGTGAGAATCGGGAGTCTCAGTACAGAGACTTGGGCTGACAGGAAGCCACGGAGAAAGGTGTGTGACATGGATCGGGGTCAACACTTTCCTTCTGCTCATGAACGCTTCCTTTAAATCTTTGAGCCAACTCAGTTGCTGCAACGCAAACGCAAACACGTTGGGGATCCCTAGCTGGGTCAGCTCAGAGAGAAAATACTATGTATGCTTAAGAGTCAGGGCTGCGCGCGATAGCTTGGAGCACATTCATTTCAGTTCACTTTAAATGCTTATAAATTGAAACCATAAAATGTTAAAACTTGAAGGATTTTATTCACTAGCTAAAGGACGCATAGTTGCTATCTTAAAAAACAGCGATAGAAAAAACAACCAACAAGCAAACCAGAAACAATCAAAAATCGAGAAGACAAACAAACAAAAAACCTCGCCAGGTCGCGCAGTTGGCTACAGCATCCTCCGGATATGCCAAGGTTGTGGGTTCAATCCCTGGTCAGGGCATACACAAGAAGCAATCAATGAATGCATAAGTAAGTGGAACAACAAATTGATGCTTCTCTCTCCCTTCCTCTCTCTAAAATAAATAAATAAAAGTTTTTACAAAGCAAAACATACCCCTAGCCAGTTTGGCTCAGTGGATAGAGCATCAGCCTGCCGACTGAAGGGTTCCGGGTTCGATTCCAGTCAAAGGCACATTTCCCCGGTTGCAGGCTCAATGCCCAGTAGGGGCCATGCAGGAAGCAGCCAATCAATGGTTCTTTCCTCATTGTTGTTTCTATCTCTCTCTCTCCCTTCCTTTCTGAAATCAATAAAAATATATTTTTTAAAAAAGCAAAACATAAAAAAGGAGAAAAATGCAATCAAGCAACAGCAAATCAGATCTAGCCACAATGCTTGAGAAAACATATATTTGACTTAATTATATTTTATTTTATAGTTACTAGTGTCCACAAACAAAAGTTTAGTTTAATCTTTAATATATTTTAAATACATCTTTTAAAATATACTTATATGTCTATATAAATCTTTCTCTTTTTTTTGTTTTTGTTTTTGTTGTTGTTGTTGTTAATCCTCACCTGAGGACATCTTTTTTATTGATTTTTAGAAAGAGTGGAAAGGAGGGATAGAGACAAAGAAAAACATCGATGTGAGAGCAATACATGGGTTGGTTGCCTCCGCACATGCCCAGACCAGGGCTGGGGATCAAGCCTACAACCAAAGGACATGCCCTTGACCAGGACCCTTCAGACCGTAGGCTGACACTCTAACCACTGAGCAAACTGACTAGGACTCTTGTACATTTGAAATATACAAGAATGTTTATTCAATCATTAAACATGTGCAAGATGGGAAACATCATCCTTTCCCCCCCTTTATTCTCACCTGAGGATATGTTTATTGACTTGAGAGAGAGAGAGAGAGAGAGAGAGAAGCATTGATTTGTTGTGCCACTTATTTATTCATTCATTGGTTGCTTCTTACAGGTTCCCTGATGGGAATTGAACCTGCAACCTTTTGGTGTTTCTGACGATGTTCCAACCAACTGAGCCAACCAGCCAGGGTGAAAAGGTCATCTTTTTCTTTTTTTTTAATGTATATTTTTTTAATTGATTTCAGAGAGGAAGGTCAAGAGAGTTAGAAACAGCAATGATGAGAGAGCACCAATCGGCTACCCACCCCCTATGCCCCTCACTGGTGTCGGATCCCGCAACCCAGCATGCGCCCCAGTCGGAAATTGAACCTC